TTGCTCCTCTCTCTCCCAACGCGTCATCTTTGCGATTAAGGAGCAAAAGCCGAGAAGAAACTCGCATGAAACTGAGAAAAAAACCCACTCGGGGAGCAGATAGCGCGGCCAAGGTGGGAACTTCTGAAGCTTTGCATTTCCTGAGTCACAGGAAATAAGAGGGCTAGAAAGAAAAGAAAAAAAATATGTGAAAACTCAAGTTTTTCCCTGGGTGTAATGGAGGCAGAGAGGCTTCGCACCCCTGCTGACTCAGGGCCCATCCCGGGCGTGGGGCAAAGCGTACGATCTGCCACCCTTTTGGAGCGCTCGGCTCCTTCTGACCTCAGCCTGATGGCAAGGAACGATGGCAGCTGTGCCCGTTTAACACTTAGGAGCACACCGAACTGTTGCCATCTTGAGCTGCTTGTGAGTTTCCTGCAGCGTCACGGTGCCCACAATCTGGCTGGGCCCCCTTTCCTCTCCTCTCCTCTCTTCCTAGTAGGGGCCTCCTGGGTCTGGCTGATAAGCTTCCTTGAGACGGTTCCCCGAAATGACACGTCGTGTTCTTATCTTCCCATGTTGCCTAAAAACTTCTAAGAAAAAGATGTTCTTCTAATTCCTGTAAAATTCGAGGAAACGCCGAGACTTGGGCACCCTGGGGATTCATTCTCTGAAAACTAACCGTCCAATTTCGGAAGGAGCAACGTTCCGTTAAACCCCTGGAGTACGAAGACCACGAATGGCAGCACCTTTTTTTGTATCGCTCAAGTCTGCAAAACAAGTTCGATCCTGACAACGGGGCCTGTAAAAGAAAGGTGGCTTCTCTGTCAGGCTGACGTATTTTGTACAATCCCTAGGATGCTAGCAGGGTTTTGTAAATTACTATCTGCCTTCCACATCACCACCCTAATTATTATTTTGCAGAGATGAGAAAAGGGCCCTCTTTGTTAAGGAATTCTTTCAATTGGTTAGGTATCAACATGGAGCCTATTAAAATATCACAATTGCCAGTCATTGATCCTAGTATTTAACTAGTCATGCTCAACTAAATTCTCCTTAAGTTTCTCAGGCTTTCTCTACAGAGGCCTAAACCGGGGCTCCGTCTGGCGCAAACAACCTTCAGTGAATTAAAAGGGATTTAATGCACAATTGTGGAATGATAAGGTTTTTTTAAAAGCATAAACAGCCCCAATTTGATCCTTCATTCTACAGAGATGTTTTTCCTCGAAATCTGGGTATGTTGGGACTCCATTTCTTAGAATTCAGACTAAGGTCCAGTGGCAAAAATGTGAGTCAAAATGGCTATTTCCCCCCCCCCCCTCATCTTTGCAGAAAAAATCTTCTCTCTTTGTAAGAGCTTCATGGACTTTTTTCAGATTTTTCACAACAAGGAAATTGCGGGGCCTATCATTTTGCTTCAGCGATTCAAGGACAAGGCATGTAGATAACCCTATCAGCAGACTTCATGGCCTGCACTGCATTTTCCCCCGTCTCCAATTTCAAAGAAGAAGGAAAAAAAAAAGACGTTAAAGCAAAATAAAAAGACGAAAACATCCAGACAAAAGACTGCCTGTTCAGCAAGGACTTTAACCCTAAATAATTGCAAATTCTTCAGTCCGTTCTCAGATTAGGAAGATTCAGTTTGCTTAAGGAAGAAAAACTTTTCTCCGTGGGAAGAAATGCTAAAATAACAACTATAAAAGTTTTATTTCTCTCTCAGAGGAGAACGAATCCAAAACTTGGCATTTTTTCAAGCTATGTTTGGGAGGGACCACGAGAGAAGGGTTTCGGTTCCCAGCAAAGTTCAGATATGGTCAAATATCGCCTCTGGTGATAAAGGCAGCAGACTGGGCTCACCCCGTGGCACTTTGCCCCTGGGCAACTGTGAAAAGTTTAATGAATTTATGACATTATATTGGGAGTATGTGGAAGGAACACAGGGCAAGGTCACAAGAATTGCCCACTGTGGCTGATAAGGCGGTTTTTATGGCTTCATGTGAAGTGTACACCCCAGCCAAGTATGGCTCAAATATGGTTTAAGCAGAGAATAGATTCCGCTCTTCCATTTCCTTAATTGGATCCATCGTTTTCCCTGGATATCTCCCTGGTGATCCTGCACCCGCATGTGATCGCTTGGCTGAAGAATCTGGCCACAAGGAGATCCCAGGTCTGTCCAAGGGGGAAAAAAAAAACGGAGGTAGCTTTCAGGAGCTTCTTAAACAGATGTGCGGATTTCCAAGAAAGAAGAGATTAAAAACACCCAAAGGAGGCTGTCAGGATCTGGCCATATTGAAGTAAAAGAGGGGGGGGGAGCACGAATGGAAGGCCCAGTCATTGGAAAAGCAGCAGCACAACTCCAAGAAAACAACCAAGGTTCATTTCCCAACCTCCCAGCAAGTCTGCCTGTTAATTATACACAGAAAAACAATTTGGGAGCCAGCCAGCCACCTACCCACCCACCCAGGAAAGCAGCTTCTCTTTTGAGACCTAGACAGGATTGAAGAATGAGTTCAGGACTGCAGAATGCTGTCTGCCCAGAGACGCTTTTGGAAACCTTCAAAGGCTCAGTCAGTCTTTCTGGGCTGTGTTTTTCCTTTGAAAGACGTGATGGTTACTCAATGAATAGTGCTTATTTCTAAGGATGCAAGGACGGCTGGAGCGCCCAATCCCATCTCTTCGCTATTTGCAAAAGGCTTAAAAGTCACACGGGGAGCTTGCTAATCGCTTCCTGGAAAGGAACCAGCCACCCCCCCCCAAAAAAGAATATTTGCTCTATAAAACATCTGGATGCTGCTGGCAACTTTCAGCCAGGAGCCAGACAGAAGTAGAAAAATCCAACTATTTTCTTTAACTCTACCCCAGAAGGTAAAGAAAAGGGCATCCCCAGTCCAAAAGTTGCTGGAAGATCAGGAAAAAAAACACCCTACAAAATCATGGCAGGTTATATCCTCTGGGGCCTGGGATGCTTCACCCCATGCGCTGTTTGTGCCTTGGCATAACTCGGTGAGGATTTGTGTGTTGTGCGACTAGCCTTTGTAAAGCCAAGGGAGCAGGCTGTAGGATGCAAAAAAGGATATTGCAGAAAAGAAGAGCAAAGGAGGAACTGCTGGCAAAGAACCCACCCCCCCATGAATTAAAATGGCTCCTTCTGAATGGCTCTCAGAGAGGAACTTCAGACAGAAAACTTCCATTATTTGACAATGGAGTCTTGCCAGATCCAGAAGGCCAGTTCCCAGAACAGCTGGCTGACACAGGTCTCGTTTCTGCTTTTGACTTCTGCTATCAGAAAGAAAACAGACCGACAGGCAGGGAAGACTTTTTAAAATAAAAACACGCCTATCAGCAATCCTTAAACAAATCAAATGCTGAATTAAAGTTTCAGGGTGGGGGTGGGAGGCAAGGAATAATGAACCCCATGTGGAAATACTAGCCCTGACTAAAGGTAAAAGGAACCGATTCCAGCAGGGAGGTTTCCCTTTCTGGAGGCAGCTGCCTTGTGCTGGAGGACTGGCTGATTCCTCCCCCCCCCCCTTTTCCCTTCCCTTCCCTGGGATAAAAGCTTCCCTTTCATTTATTTATTTGCAAGGCCTCTTATTACAGGAAAAGCCACCAGCGATGACTTCACCAGACAAGAATGGCATTAAACATTTGCCCAGCTATGGGGTGTTTTTCCCCCCCTCTGCCTTTGAGGAACAGAAAGTGGAAAGCAGCTGTGCTAAGTGGCCATGAAAAAGACAGGGGGATCCTTTATGAATTGTCGTGAACCCCGGATCAAGGAGGCAAGAAAGGGAAATGGTGGGAAAGAACAGCCTGGGCTTTGGACAGAGGTGGCTGGGCTCAGCCATCTGCTTAGTTTCAGACCCACACAACCACGGGAGCCCTTCAAAGCCAGAGGGGGGGGGCAGGAAGTTGAGTTTTGCAGCTTTCCATTTAAAAACAACACAGTTTTTTTATTAGTTCATTATCCTTATCTTTCTAGAACAATTCTAATAAGGCTATTGCTGAAAGTTTTGGGATGGGAGCCCATGAAATGGAAGAGGCCACCCACATGGTTCCCATAGAGCTTCGAGAGAGGAGCAAGCCTCCCCGTCATCTGTTTTCCCCAAGAAAAGGATTGCGAATTCAACAGGGTAAACAACACTCGGCTCCACCCCATGCCTCTTTTGGATCTGCGCTAGGAAATCCAGAGAACTGGGGACTTTAAGCAGGTGGTTCATTAGTGCCAAAGCCCCAACTTTCCTCTGGTTTAATTAAATCATGGGGAGAGGAAAGAAGGAACCTGTGAAGTTAACAACAACAATGCTTAATTACACTTCATTTTCAGAGATTAAGAAGGGTGTGTATTTTAATGCAAAGCTCTGTTCAAAATCCCAGGGACCAGTTTATGAAACAGAAAATATTGTTCAGCTACTTTTTTGGGGGGGGTGGGGGTGTCTAACAATGTTTTCCACAATCAATTGCTCTTGATTTTTCCAAGAAACAGGGTCTTCTTTGCACGGTGTCACCAAATAATTTAAAGCCTCATTAGAAAGCAGTTTGGCGTGACTTCAGTTATTCCTGAATGATTTGTTCTTTCTGAAGTTAACATTTTCCCCCCCAGCCTTAAAATAAGACATCAATTCTTCCCTTTGGTTTTGCTGACTGCCAATGAGGTGTTTCTCTCTCCCCCTCCGTCCTTTTTCATTTACACCTTGAGAGAGCCGACTCTTCTGCAGTGAACTGGGTGGGGGTGTGAGCACATGAAAAGCAGGAAGGGGAAATGGTTATCGTGTAATTGTTGCTGGAGTTCCTTAATCTGGTTTCCTTCTATTCACGAGGGTGAATACTGCCCATTATCCCTTCGGTTAAATCTTTCTGAGCTGTAGAGCAATCTTTATTTTTTGCCTAAAAGCTGAACCAAGGATGAAGCCCACTTGCATCCTCGCTGGCAATTGTTATTTGCTTTGTTTGAAGTATGACCTTTGCTCGAAAAAGTCACAGCATCACAACCCCCAACAGTGATTTCCAGCAGACTCATCTACTTATTGCAAAACTGAGAAATTTATAAATATCAGATTAGAGGAAAAGGCACAAGTCTGTCAGTTACACAAAGGAGCAATACAAGCGGGTGGGGGTGGAATAGTTCAAAGAACCTCATTGGATTAAGAATCTACCAATACATGAACTTTTTATGGACAATTCCCAAAAGAACATTCGCAATATTCAGACAAATACATTCCTCTGCTTCATCAAAGCAGGACATTCTAAGGAGGCAGGGAAGCCTGCCCGATGTATATAACATTACTGACAACTTGAACAGTTAAGGGTTAAATTAATTTAATTCGGATGAACATTCAAGCACATATTATATTAAACACTTCATTGCTAGGTTGCAAAACAGTGATTCTGCCTGGGAGGAATGTGGGCAAGGTAGGAATCAGTAAGGCCTCCATGTTGCTGGCAGACTTGGGCTTTATTGAAGTCTAGGCTCTCCGAATAAAGCCCTCTCTGGCTTTCGCTACATGCAACTCTTCCTTTCTTTCCTACCACAAAAAGAGACGCTGACCCCGTAGCCCAGCAGCCAAGAGGATCTGGGATGAAGAGAGAACTGCCATGGTTTGGGACTGGTTTTCCTGATGTGCCAGGAAGTCAGAAGGAATCCAGGCTCAGGGCCCTATTGAAATATAAAATGCCCATGTTCCCACTGGATTCTCGTCAGAGACATTCACAGCTACAGTGTTGTCAAATGGGAGGAAAGAGGACAGGCCAACGCCATCAGGTCTCACTTGGAATCGGTTTGCTGCCCGTGTAAAAATGGGGAACCTCAGGCACTGCCTGGTTGGTTGGACAAGAAAACCCCAGCTGACACGCCCACCCACAGGGCACCAGTATTTATAAACAGAACTTTGGAGAAGTGCCATTTTGCATGTTTCTAAGGAAAAACTTTGCATACTCTGCCAGTAAACCCCCCACAAGGCATTGCAATAGGCTAGTTCTATTAGCCCCTATGAAAAATACTTCCCTAGCCTCCTCTCGGTTTTTCTTTCTGGGCCCTGGAGGCAGGCAGAAGGGGGCAGCTTAACCTGTCTGAAATATTTTCATTTCCTTGCACATCACTGTAATACCTTTTTAACCAGCTCAAGTGCCCACAGAGCAGCAATTTGGAAACCATGAGGTGCAAGTGACAGATCAGACAGCTCCAGGACCCAAGCCAGAATTCAGACCATCTTGAATGAAGAAACAAGGCTTAATCCCAACATCCCTGAAGCTGGCTAGTTCTAGTCCTATTCTAAGAGTGATCTCGGGCCCTGCCTCTCCATCTCCACAGAAAAAAAGCCAGTCCAGAGTTTTAAGCCTCGTCTACCAACGAATCGCCTGGCAACGTTAAAGGGGGAGGAAAGAAAGAACAAGGGACAATCATTCAGCCACAAAACGAAAACAAACACTTCAGGTTTCTGTATTAAGGACCTCACATTGCGAGAATCACTGAATGGGTTTTATTAAGACGGTTTATGTAAACAAGCAGATCTTCCAGCACCTTGCCAAGATTTTTATCTCTGCCATTACTTGGTCTAGAGCAGGGGTGCCTAACCCTGGCCACTTTTAAGACTTGTGGACTTCAACTCTCAGTTGAAGTCCACGGTTATTGAAGTGGCCCTGATTGGATACTCCCGGTCTAGACTGATGCACAATGAAAACTAAAAGCAATTCTAGACTGCAAATTAAAACTCCTGCTCCTATTAACTGAAGCCATTCTCCTGAATAAAAGAAAAAAATCAAAGAAAACTCAGCTTATGAACTGTTTCATTTAGAAAAGGCCATCAGGCATCCTCCAGAAACATCCAGGTTGAAACATCTGGAGGACATCCAGGAAGCTGCCTACAGATTATAATTTTTGTGTGTGTGTGTGTTTGTGCACCACAGGATCTCATACTGCTAATTCACGCATGTTATTTTGCTTTCTTACAGGATAAATGACATTCATGTGCAAGTTTAGCTTTTTTTTTTTTTTAAAAAAAGCATCCTTTAAACTCAACTCAGGAATCAAAAAAATAAAGCAGGGTGATGGAAAACCCCAAAGGGCTCCTTTCTTCCCAAGAGAGGGAGGGAAGGAAAAGAGGGGCTTTCAAACTTTAAGCTGGTCACTACAGTCACATCGATAACCTTGTTAAACTTGGATGCGAAGGTTTTCTGAAATGCCCAGTATATGCTGATGGGAGAAATGAATCAAGAGTCATCAAATCCAAACTGAATCAACCCCCTCTTCGCAATCTTTTCTCAAAGATAAAGCTGCTTCAAGAGTGCACACGTTTTGCAGGTTTCACCGGTCCCAAATGATGCTTATCATGGTTGCAGACTGAGCTCCGCTGCAGGGAGCAGCTATGGGTGAGATCCAAGGGGTGGCTTAATGGCAGTGTAACGCTTTCAAAGGGAGGGCAGTGGAAAGAAAGATTGAAAAAAAATAAAATGAAAAAATACAGTCAGCCCTTAAGAATACGATGTGTTGATGAGAGGCTGAAGGAAGCCAGGCCTTTTCTCTTAGTGACGGGGCAAAAATGCGTTGCCTGCATCCACCAACAGTTAAAGGCATTTCCCAGAGATCACCCGGAAGTCTTTAGGATGACACTGGACCCAAACACCCCTGTATTTCAGACCCAGCGTTATTCTCCAAAAGACGGGAGGGCACAATTGTCGCCCTGTGCAAACAGATCACTCACTGCTCAGTGCATCCAGCTGTCTTTCCTCCGGAGCCCAATGCCGCCAGTCCAAGCACACCTCCTCCTCCTGCACAGGGCTTCAGTCCTCCTAGCTTCGTGTGAGTGAAGCAGAGTGCACACGTTTCTTCCCTTGGAAAAAGCGACTTCCATTTGTAAGACATCCTTGCTGGGTTACCTTCTATCCCGGGACAGTTCATAGCAGTCCTTCTTGGGGAATTCCAGCTGTCCTGCTTCCCACTCGGCAAGAGGAGAACAGCTCAGTTTTCTATTCACAGCAGAACAGAGTAGTCCAAGCTAAGCTCCACTCAGGAGAGCCCCCCTTTTTTTGGCTCACCGGATCAAGTAAGCCAAGCTCGCTCCTAGGCCAGCCACACTTGCAAAAGCCACCAGAATGTTTCTGATGCTGCCTTCCAGGTCCTCTACATGGAAGAATTTAACAAAGCCCTCCTAAAAGAAAGAATGGTACCGTTAATGGCTTTGACACAGGCAGCAACAGCAGCACCTGGCAGCTTTAGAAAATCCACAGAAAGCAAGGCAAGCAGGGTTTTGTATGAAGAGAGAAGCTAATTCCAGAAACTGGGCCTATAGAATATGACACCCCTTCAGAGGAGAACTTAGTCTATCATAAAACCCCAGAAGCTCAGCCCTCTAGAATCCGTCTTGGGGGAACAGGGAGATTGGTCATGCAATCACTGCCTATTTTTGTGTCTGGACAACTAGCCTCAAGCACAGCTGAAGTTTCCACTCCCTCACCCCCCAAGGTTTGTCATAAAGAGGAACAAGCAAGAAACCCCCCCAAAGGCCAGGAACCTTACCCAGGCGTTGTGATGCAGCAGCCACTCTCTCTTCTCTGTCACCAGCACCTCCGTGATAATCTCCGCCAAAGTGTTGATGCCGCTTTCCTGATTTATGCTCTTCAAGTGTTTGGCAACAAAAGCACCAAAAGAAATGAGAGTCACAATTCGCCCCCAGTTTGTTATGCCATCACTGAAAACCTGCATTGCAACTTCCGACATGAGCTTCAAGTCATCTGCTTTGTCGATCTGCACTTTCCTCAGCATTCCTGAATTAAGAAGGGAAGGAAGGACTTTAGGCAAAGCACCACAAAAGGTTGAAGAGGAAAAATACTGAAAACAATCTCTGGTTTTGTCTTTTCCCGGTGAGGGAGGGGGGACCTCAGAAACCCCCAGAAACATGGTCAGTGCTGCTACAGTTCATCCATATAGCAACTAGAACTAAAAGGAAACAGCAATTTTGTGTACAGTATTTAATTCTCAGCCCCAGTGATTTCCCAAGCAAAGCAGGATACAACTCTCAGTTCAGATTGCTAAATGATGCCACGTAAGAGGCAAAGGCAGAACTGGATTCCCCAGTCGATCTCAAAGCTTCAGGAAGTTTGAATTCAGGTGAGGAGAGTCCCTGCGGTATAGTGGATTATTCAGAAGGCTTTAGGCCTCCCAGGAAGCAGGTGCTGATGAAACTGGTTACCAGGGAATTCAATGTATCAGCCAAATACTATTGTACTAGGCCACCCTCTGCCTGTTCTGTGTCACAGTCCTTGCTTCAAAGCATGATGGGCCAGGATGTCCCCCACTCATACATCACCCTGGAAACTCATCAGCAACCATCCCATTTATCAAGAAAACTCAAAAGCTGGCAAACTTCAAACGCTTTGCTAAAATCACTCCAAAGGCAAAGCACAACGGTCTACAGCAAAGGAAGTTAAAAACCCTGGCTAGCTAGAGAAGTTTCTGGTGTTTTTTTAACACCACCCTGTTTACAATGAGTTATTTTCCGCTTGCTGGGCCCAGCAGGATAGGAGCCACTGATAAAGCTAATCTATAATGAGATTTTTTTTTTATCTCTGCCTGCCTGCAAGGTTGCCCCCCCTCCCCCACAGTACGAAGTGCAGTTTCCTTTCTGCTGCAGCCTGATACTTTCACAATGACTGCTTGCAGCAAAAACAAGGGGAGGGTGGGCAGAGAAGCCCTGGCCACACACAGCCTCCCAGCTACCAGGGTGGGCTCTACCAGAGTTGCAGCTGCTTTCCAGCCAATCCTGGCCAAGAGCCCCTTCCTCTCCAATTCATCCCTCTCCAGCAAAGGGCAGATGGAGAGTGGGGGGGGGGGAACCCCGGAATATAAGGGGAAAAAAAGAATTTTACATCCCTTCCTGCATATCTGGCATCCTCTCAATCCTCCCTTGCCTGCTGCCTTTTCCAGCAGGATGCACTGCAGTTACTTAACATTCCCACCCCCCACAGCTTGCTGCCCTTTTGGGGGGAGGTGGGCTAACTAGACTAGCCTTCTGTTTATATTGCAGTTTAATATTCGCACCTTTGCAATCCCATGCTCTTTCAGGGTGGTGGGAACCCATTTTCGGGGGTGGGGGTAGATGAACCCTCTGGATGCATGGCGCTTTCTCAATATTTCCATCCCGCCCCCCCCCATCCTCCCTGCTTGCTTTTCTTTTCGCTGGGGGCGGGGGGGGGCGGGAAGGGAGTTACTAGACCAACCTTCTGTTTGCATTGCAGTTTCTCAATATTTACACACACAGAATCCCATCCACTCCTTCCTTGCGAAGGGGGGGGGCGACTACAAAGCCCATCAGGAGCCCCAGTGCAGCAGGGGGAGGAGCCTACCTACCTAGGAAGGCCAGCTGGTGCTTCTCCATGATGTCGTCGCAGACCCTCCGCAGCGTCTCCAGGGCCCGAGCGGCCGTCTCCGCCTCGCCGGGACCGGGACCGAAGCGGCCCAGCAGGCCCTGCAGGAATTTCCCGCCGCCGCCGCCGCAAGCGCCGCCGTCCTGCTTGGGGAGCTCCTGGTCGGCCGCCTCCCGCAGGTACGAGGCCACCAGCTGCAGCGTCACCTGGCGCAGCGGGTCCCCGGGGGTCGTCGGAGGCGGCGAGGCGGCCGGGCAAGAGGCGGGAGGCTCCGCTCCGTTCTCCGCGTCGGGCTCGCAGCCGTCCAGCTCCTCTTCGGGGGAGCCAATCAGCGCGCGCGCGGCCGCCTCCGGGGGCCCAATCAGCGAGGGGGCCCCTCCGCCAATCAGCGCTCGAGGCCCCTCAGCGCAGCCGGCGGGAGGCCAACACAGACCCCCGCCCAGGCCGCCTCGGGCCCCGCCGGGAAGGAGAGCCAGGCCGCCCTCGCCGCTTCCTCCGCCGACGCTTCCTACTCCTCCGCCGCCCCCGCCGGGAGACTGAGGGGCGGCCGGGGCCAATCCGGGGGATCCGCCGCAATACAGAACCATCGTCTTCTTGTTGAACATGGCTGCCGACCTCGCGCGATGGCTTCGTCTGAGGAGGGGAGTGGCGCGCGCAACGGGCGACCGTTATAAATGCCGCCCGCCGAGTGACGTAGGTGACGCAAAGGGGGGGGGCGGGGCCACGCGAGAAGCGTATTGGAGCGATTGGAATAGAATAGAATAGAGCGGAGGAGGAGGGGCGGGGACTCCTAGAGGGGGTGGGTGGAGAAAAAAAAAAGGTTCCGAGTAGCCAATCGGAGTTCGCGATCGGGGTTGGAATTTTTTTTATTTTTTTTTGTTAAATCCCCCCTTTCATCTTTCCCAGCAAAGGATGGGCGGGCCCATTTTTGCTTTGGGAAAAGGGGGGAAGAAAGAAAAAAAGGGGGAAGGAATGGAAGCGGCCTGTGGAAGACGGGGGAAGCCAAGGGGGGGGGGGGGGGGAAAGGTCTGGAGTGCAGAGTTGCAAAGCGGCGCCCGCGGGCGCCCGCAGCGTCCTGGGTTGACCCTGACTCCCACTCCTCCTCCTCCTCCTCCTCTCCGGGGTTGGGGGCAGCATTGCAAGCCCGTCTCGGGAATTGGGGTGGGGGGGATCAGCCTCATCCGGCCACCGACCAGTCCAGGGCTCTCCAAGCTTGGCCGCTTTTAAGACTTCAAGTCCCAGGATTCCCCAGCTGGCCACGCAAGAGGAATTCTGGGAGTTGAAGTCCACCAGTCTTAAAAGCGGCCAAGCTTGGAGAGCCCTGGACTAGATGGTCTTGGGGTTTTCCCCTCCTGACCTGCAAGGGAGAGTATGCCCCATAAAATACCCCGATGGGAGCAACCCTTTCCAGCGTGATGGACCATCAAACTGAACCTCAAATCAGCCAACAGACGATGGGTGTTGTAGTCCTGCTTTAGGCATGAAAGCCAGCTGGGTGACTTTGAGCCAATTCCCTCTCTCCCGGTCCGGCTCACCTCACAGGGCTGTCGTGGTAAGGAAAACAGGAGGAAGAAGGTGTATTGAATACGTTCGCTGCCTTGTTTACAAAAATAATAAAGGCAGGATAGAAGTAAATTCTATCTTATAAAGTAAATTCTATCTTATAAAGCGTAAATTCTAACTTCCCTTTTAAATTGCAAATTGTAAATTTGTTTTAAACCATTAGGGGTGTTTTAATTTGTTTTGGGCCAAACTATTTAATGGGTTTCTATATTGTCTTTTAAATTTTGTAGTTTGTGGGTTTTCATCTTTGGCTGTTCACCGCCCTGAGTCCTTCGGGAATAGGGTGGTATATAAATCCAATAAAATGAAATGAAATTAAAATAAATTAAAATTGGGCTGCTTTCTAAGGCACCCAGCCTCTCCTCGAGCAGAATTCAGCAAAAACGGCCCTGCTGGCTGGCTGCGAAACAAAAAGCTCAGCATCTTTCTAGAGCATAACAGGATGTCACGCAGCCTCCGGGGCAAATGACAGATTTCAAAACTTTGTACAATCCATTTTCAGCACATTTTCCGTTTTTCCTTCTGCAAAAAAAAAAACAAAAGAAAAAAGCCCAGCAGCTCAGCTGACTTCTTCGCAGGGCCGAGCAGCCCGCAAACAGGATCACGTCTTCCGTGACGTCACCAGATGAAGGTTCCCAGATTAAGCAGTTTGGGGTTGTCTAGACCAACCCGCGGCGATGTTTTCCTGCAGCCAAGGGGGTGGCCTGGGTTTGGCACGATGGCTCAAGGGCCCCCAGCCAAGGATAACTGAATGAAATCACTCCTTCCAAAGCCTTAGGAACCAGAGACCGGGTTTGCACATTTCAAACCTCGGTAAACAGATGGGGTTTCAAAAAAGCTGCCTAAGTTAGTTTTTTTCCTTCCCCCGTTCTTCTTAGCATGACGTTATGGAAAATTGTCTTTAAATGTTTGCATCGAACCTGGGAAGAGAACGTCAGCAGAACTCAAAAGGCCTGAGCCAAACAATTCTCCCCATTGAGCAACAGAAGGCCAATTTTCGCCCTGATCTATGTGAGGTGGTCTCCTCCCTGCCTGTTTTCCCGGAGACCCCCCAGCCTTTAATGGCTAAAGAAAGAAGGGGCTGTATTCTGCAGATGTGGGATTAATTTTCACAGATGTGCTCGTGTTTCTCTTGTAAACCAGCCAGGAGTCTTTGAAAGTGGCGTCATGTCAGTAACTGAAAATTCCCTCCCCACAGTAAAGCCATTTTCACTGATGGGAAGAAAAACCCAGAGAGAAAATGGAATTTGAAAGTGAAATCCTGAGCACACAGGCCCCTCTCTGTTCAAAGTCCACCCACTCACACCCACCCCCTTCGACTCAGAACAAGGGAGCAAACCTGGTTACCTGACCTACATCCCCATTACGTAATCCCCTATTAACCGATCCCTTGGAGATTATGTAATAAATCTATTGTGACGGAGGACTTAAGAAAGAGGAAGAAAACACGGCTCCTGAAAAGTACATCTTGTCTTCAGATGTCAGCAATATGATGCCCCAGCCCTAAATTGTTGACACGGTGCCCATACGGTGTCAATCACGCACCAAGGAAAGCTCACAGCTGACCCAAACACCAATAACATTTTTAAGGACACAACCCAAAAGGTCAAACCGCACCAAAAAAAAATTTTTTTAAGAAAGAAACTTGACAGGAAAATCTTACATTTCGTCAGAAAGGGGTGGCCTAAGTTTCTAGTCCTCTTCTTTCAATGGAAAATTAGCATTTCCTCCTGTCCACATTCACCAAAAAAAAAAAAAAAGCTTTACTGTCAATCATCCTGCTTTGCTCTACAGCAGAGGTCCCCAAACTTGGCAGCTTTAAGACTTGTGAACTTCAACTCCCAGAATTCTATGCTGGCTGGAGAATTCTGGGAGTTGAAGCCCACAAGTCTTAAAGCTGCCAAGTTTGGGGACTCCTGCTCTACAGCTTTCCAGCAAGAGATTTTTGGCAGGATTCGAAAAGCGGGGGGGATGGAGGGGTGCTTTGCCTATGAAGCCCACCGTCCATAGTGTTTTTTCCTGGCCGGGCTGTCCCCACCTCCTCCTCTTCTGCCTCATCAAAGGAGTAGGTGGGTGGAAGAGCAGCGAGGTTGTCAGATGACTTCCCGAAAGAGGTGCTGCCCCACATTTCTCAGCCAAAGAGCACTGAAGGGAACTTCCCCCATTGGCCCTCGTCTTAAAAGGGTTTAAAAGTCGAGAGAGGAGGGATCCCTTCCGTTAAGGATCCAGAAGCAGAGTTTAGGCCAGGGATATCAAAACATGGCTACCTTTAAGACGCCTGGGCTTCAACTCCCAGAATTCCCCAGCCAGCCACGGACATCCTTATTTTAGACTAAAGAAACACCAAGATGCCAATGTTTTCCTTAGCCCAGAATCCACCACCACAAAAGCCTGACCTCCATTCTAAATTTTCATCCAAGATTTCAGCAAACCCCTTCCCTAGAAAGTTAAGGGGGGGGGGGACAATCGAGGGATGGAGACCTTGCAATACTCTTGACCTCTTAACCATCTTCCCAAACAAGCTGCTGACACGCATAAACTGTTCTTAGGGGATCGATTCGGGCTAAAATCAAATCCACAAGGAAGCCGGGACTCTCCCACCCAGATGGGAGAACCACGCAAGTTGGCAAGGGCCGCCGTGTATAATGGGAGTCGGAGTGCTCCAGGTCGAAGAAGGAAGGAGCAATTTAGAGCTGCCCTCTACCTGTGTGGGTCTCCCCCGAAGGGGCAGAGGAAGGCAGGCAGGCAGGCCAATCAACCTAAACCCCGCAGCCCTTTTCTCCCCTTGGGAGGGATCGGGAGTCCTGCGGGTGTCAAAACTGAGTGACCAGATTATGTGCCTCCCCCCACTTCCAGCAAACGTCCCCTCTGACCCTCCACAAGTAAAGGCGGACGTGACACAGCCCAGGTAAACAGCCCAGCCCAAGAAGGCACCTGGGGAAAAGGAAAACAGCAATTAAACCTTCCAAAGCAAACAAGCCAGGTTTACATTGAAAACACCGGGGGGGGGGGGGGAGGCTGGCCGAGCCCGGCTAAGAAAACACAGCCCTTGGAGGAAGAGATCTCTGAGGTTTTTGGGGGGAGCCTGTCCCTCAGCAGAGGATCTCGATGGGACACTTCAGGCTCCCTAGGAAAGCACACACACACACACACACACACACCCGGGCAAGCTCTGAATTTGCTCGTTTGCTTTTGAGCTGAGGGGTGGGTCTGTTGGGAAACAGGCTTCGGCCACGGGACGGGCCCAGCCCCGACTGCAAACAAACCCAACCGTTCGGCCCCCCTCTTCCCACAATGCTCTGGGGCTCCTTCCCCCTCCCCGCCATTCCCACGCTTTGCAATGATCTCAACCTTTGGAAATGCAAAGGAACGTCCAGTTCACGCTGGGTTCCTCCCCTTCCCTTCCCCTCCCCCCTCGATTTGGGAGCGGTTGGACGGGAAGGCCTCTTTCACCCCCCCATGGCCGAGGAGGGAATGACACGGCCAGCAAGCCCCCTTCACACAACCCGTGGCCCGGCTTCCTTCGTAGATTTGTGGACATGGCTCAGTTACAAGCTTGGCGTGGGGTGTTTTTTTTTTTTTTGCCGCTCAATTCCTGACCTTCCTGCCTTGGGCAGAATATTTCCACGGGACAAAAGATGAGTGGACTTCAACTCCCAGAATTCCTCAGCCTGGGGAGTTCTGGGAGTTGAAGTCCATACATTTTCAATTTGAGAGACACCACATTAAGAGGCAGGCGTCGATAATAAAACAGAAGCAGATATTTTAATGACAGAAATCAGCAAAACGCAACCGCTTGGTTCATACACCGGGCTACACCACCATCTAACTTGGACTTGCCGATTTAGCTAAGAGTGTAAACCTGGGTTCACGTAACCCGCTAAGCCTCCAAGCCACGTTCAGCTAACTACAGCGGTTCGCACGAACGGCCTAAGTGAAAAGCAACCCAGTAAACCAGGTTAACGGGATCGGCAACCCGCAAAGAGGCCACACACCAGACATCGGACTCCTGGGCTGAAACAAGGGTTACTTTATTGTTAAAAGGTTTGTCACTCCAATGTTCACACCTGGCTCTTTTCCCTTTCTTTGTCGCAGCCCACCCCCCGGAATTGCTGGTCGCCAAAAGCCAGAGAACACAATTCCCCCCCCCATTTTTTTTATTTTTAGAAGCAGCTTTGAAGCACCCAGCCGGTCTGCGGGAAGGACAAAGAGGAGAGCAGTGGGGGGCACCCGTGATTTGGAAGTTTGGAGAGAGAGAAAGAGAGAGAGAGAGAGAGAACGTTCATACTTGGGGGGGTATTTTTTTTCCTTTTTTTTTTTTTTTTAGAAAAAAGCAAGCACCAGAAGATAAGGATGAAGACAATGTAAAAAAATTATATATATATATATATATTTATATATATATATATTTATATATATATGACTCGGGTCTATTTACAGTATGGCTGGGACAGAGGGCAGGCTCGGTGGGCGATGCTCTACGGCTTCAGGGGTCTCGAAGCACCACAGGATAAATAGGGGGAAACAACAGACTCTACTTCTGGCCAATACTAAGCCATCTAGTAAAGCCAGGATGATGGAGGACATTCCACCAGGCAGCAGCTGGGCCGATGCACCCACGGACGTGTCTCCTGGGGCTCCATGAACCGCTCAGCAGGAAAGGGGGGGGCTGGTCAGGGGGGGGGCACCCTCCCGTGTCAAGATGTTGGGACCCACCAAGTGCTGCTGCAGAGAGGGGACACACTCAATTCAAAAATCCAGGGTTTTGTTCTCTTTCGGAAGCAAAGCGAAGAACACAGACGGAGGACAGAGTGGGAAGGGTGGTGGGCTCTTGGGAGAGCCCCCTCGAGAGAGCTCCCAGCATTTCAAAGGGTGGACCCTGCTTTCCTTGGGCTGCCAAGAGGATCCTACTTAACGTTTTATCGATCGATTGATTCATTCGTTCCTTCGGTTTCTGGAGCTGCCTATCTTAATAACTCTGGACAGCTCCCAATTCAAAGTTGTTAAGTTTCTCTACTTATTCTATTGATCAAAGGGAATTAGAATAATCATCTGTTGGAATCATCCTTAAATTAGGGATGTCCAACCTTGGCCACTTTTAAGATGTGTGTGGACTTCAACTCCCAGAATTCTGCAGCTGGCTAGGGAATTCTGGGAGTTGAAGTCCACACGCCTTTAAGTGGCTGGAGTTGGACAGCCTTGCTTAGAATACTCTTCTTTCTAAGACGGGAAAAGGAGGTTGCCCCATCGTGAATTAAGGCGGGACGTTTCACTAGGCCGAACAGCCGGTCATCCCCAGCACCTTCAATTCAGAATTCAGGGCCGTCAGACGCTTCCTGCCTTGACCCCTCATCCACTGGCCATCCCCTGCCTCTAAGACCCCCAAGGGCTGAGTTTTCGAGAGGGGCGTGGGCCAGGCGTCCATCCTTGAGACAAGACCAGCCCCGCCTTGGCCAATACCGCAGTGCTGGGCTCAGCCGTTGGCAGGGAAGCGTGAGCAGGGCCCACCCAGCTCCTGGCCAACGCCAGACAAACGCATGATCCATTCCCAAGACAATCCCATAAGAACTCTTTTTCCCGCCTAAGAGGATTTTACGCCAATCTGCAAACAGCAGAGAGGAAGGGGAAACCCTTCAATCCGCCTGGGTGCCTCGACTTGAGGTATGGGACGTCTTCTCTGACTCACTGCCTGGTTCCTATCAGCCGGGGGTGGGGGGTGGGGGGGGGTTCAGAGCCTCTGCAGATACAGGGGAGGTTGGACAGTCGGCATCGGACAAGATTCCCCGGGAAAACCTAAGTTTGGAAAACTTTTTGCCCCTAAGCTCCAAGCCTTGCAAAAGGGCTTCTCCAAGACCTTTAAAGAGCCCAACTCTCCCTCAACCAGCTTTCTAGAAGTAAAAACACGAGAATTGTTGAGGTTCTGCCTGCAAAGCCTTCTTCCCTCGAGATGAGGAGGCTTATGGGCGTTTCGGATCGCTGCACGTGGTTGTCGCTGTACATGGGTCTCGTTGTCCTAAATGTATGGAGCAGTTTCCCGGAAGTGTAAAGACACGGCTGCTTTAACTCTGCACCTGCCCTCTTTCGGGCTTTTCTTGGCAGCCTTCCTGGCCCCTCCAAGCTGGCGATGAAGGATTAATGGACAGGACAGAGCGTTGGCGATCTAAAGCAAAGCGAGTTTCAGGGCCCCACCCCCACCCACCCCCCGAGAATCCATGCTGCACAGCCTGCCCGCCCACAGTGGCGAGAAAACACACACCAGAACGGCACACAAGTCCATGTCTCGGCTTCTGGCTTTGATTACTACAAAGAGATCCGCCACAGTGTAGGTTCTGTGGGTCCCAGCTCTAGGGTACAGCAGAGTTCAGTTCAGTCTGACAACTGGGGTGGGGTGGAGGGGAAACGCAACCCAATTCCCCAAACCCCCAAATGGGGAAAAAAAAATAGAGAAAGAGATCTAGAGAGAGGGAGAGAGAGAGAGAGAGAGAAAGAGAGAAATTCCATCAGGAGAGCAGGTTACCCTGCCAGCTTGCTGGTGACGAGGGACGATTTTCTCTGGGGCAGATCCTGGGGGGTGGGGATGTGGTCGCCGGTCACCAGGTTCTTGTCGGTACCCGCCGTTGGCAGCTGCTTGTTCTTGATTTTGGCTTTGGCCATGTTGTAATCTCCAGAGTCGAAGTACTTTTGCTGGGGAAGAAAAGCAGGGATGAGATTTGGGGTCCCAAAGGGTGGAGAGAAGCCGCAGGTGAACGGCGGGCCCTGTTCTGTCCTCCAAGGGAAATAGAAGCCGTTCAAAAGGGAGGATTTGGAACCGTCGCTTTGCACAAGGTAGGCCCGTCTAGATGCCGAGCTCTCGTCTCTTCCTGCTGCCCCTTCCACCAAATAACAGCTGCAGCCACCAATTCCTCCGAATGGGCCCTGCCTCCAATTGGTGGCCTATTGTTTCCTTTGGCCCTGGGTTGGGGAATTCTGGGAGTTAAAGTCCACAAGACTTAAAAAGTGTCCAACCAACCTAGCCACCGATTAGCACTCTCCCCTCTGCTGCTCCCTTGGGCCACAGAGGGAACTGGTCTGGTTACATTCAGGCTAAAATATGGGAAGGACTTTGCCAGAAAACAGCAGAAACTCCAGGGAAGTTTCCAGCCTATTCCTTTCAAACAGAGGTTTTCCCACTGGGTGGGAATCCTGCAAGCAGACACCAAGGGTCTTAGCAAGACACGCTTCTAGCCAGGCCCCCCCCCCCCCCCGATGCCCCACAAGCAAAGGCAGCAGCCATCCATCCGCTCTATCAACTGCCACCCATCCGGGCTTCGGTTTATCACCATTAGACATAGCAGCTGCTGAGTTTTCGCTTCCTGCCACCCTGATTTCCCTACGGCGCTCCTTCTTTCCAGGAGAGGGTCTCTGGGGGCTCACTTACCCCTTTCTGCAGCCTCTTCATTAAGAAGTCAGAACCCCCCGGCTTCTGAAGTCCTATGTTGGGATATTTGGCTTTTAATTTGGCCTCCTCTTCTTTCTCAGGGATGCCCGTTTCCTTCTCCTGCGTATCCTGAAAGAAAGCACAGCACCCAAAAATCATCATCATCATCATCATCATCAAGAACAGCCATTAAGCCCTGCAGGGACAGAAAATGCTTCATGTATCAAAAGAGCCATCCCCGAGCTTTTTGAAGGGAGTTCGAAACACAACACTAAAGAATAAAGCTTTTGCAAAATTCCTAATATCTGCCTCAGTGCTTTGAACCGTCCGTGACTTTCACCCATTAATCCACCCCTGTTTCTTCTATGTTCTGGGTGCACCAGGCCTTCCTCTCCCTGGGCCAGCTAGATATTTCTAGAATGCTGATGAACAGGAACCGAAGGCAAAGAATAAATAACTGGATGGGGGGGTGCGGGAAGAGAAAGACTGTCACACTTTTCAAACTCTTATCTGAGAGCCAAGCCTACATTCCTGAACTTTCCTCCACCCCTAGAAGAATTTATCTTTTCTTTAAGCCATGCCAACTCCTGCCTCACTTAAGATAACACTGGAAAAGATTGTGCTGATCTCAGTCAATCCATCTTTTATGACGGTCATAGACCAGCAAATAAAAAAAACAATTTATTAAACAACATTAAAACAATACTTTGAAAACAAAAGGCAGAGTAATATATTCGGATTGGGTTGGGCTGATCTCAAAGGAGCTCCCATATCAGAGGGCAGCATAAGGACACCCCTATATGTTGAAGGCTCACAACCCTGTCATCTTCAGGCTCTTGTTTAGTTTAGAAGCTGTGGGTGTGTTGCGAGGTCGGAGCTGTCGTCAGCAGCAGCAAACATAGAAAAGCGACAGCGCCGACCTCGCAACACACCCACAGTTTCTAAACTAAACAAGAGCCTGAAGATGACAGGGTTGTGAGCCTGTCGAAACGTTGCTAGAAAGAAAAACTTTTAAGATACTGGTAGGATTTTAGCTAAGGTTTTAAAGGACCTTGCAGAGTGCTCTGTAAGGATTTTTAGAAGATTTTAAGCTGGGATTTTAACCAGAATTTTAAACATTTTAACTAACTTATTTAACATGACGTGGGAAAACACCCGAGATTTTAATTTTTTGCATATATATATGTATATATATCTTGAGCTTCATATAGATATATTAAACTCAAGATTCCTTTCATTACAATAGCTGGAACTCATCCTGGTATTATTTTCAGATGCTCACTCCTTAAATTGTCATCTTTGCTGCCGCCAAGCCGGATGCCCTGTAGGTTATTCTTGCTTGAAACCGAACCCTGCCCGTCCCTGCCAGGTTGAGCTTTGCAAGGATGCCAGCCCCCGGCTCTTTATTTGGAGCGGCTTGATGGGCCACATCAGGTGCAACGTCTCTTCGCTTGGAGGCCTTTGGGGCAGGGAGTTCAGCCGAGCACAAAGGGAAGCAGGCAAGGCTGACTGCTAGGAAGGCTCTCACCCAACCCACCCCTCCACCCACCAGGTGCCCACCTGCTACCTACAGCCGGCAGCTTCCTGCCACGGAAGCTTAAACAATCCACCCCAGTGGAACGGCTGCCCTCCAGAAGTTGCCACTGGAGGTTTTCAAGAAGAGACTGGACAGCCCTTTGTGTCTGCAACGCTCTTGGGCCTCCAAGGGGGCTGGACTAGATGACCTCCAAGGTCCCTTCCAAACTCTGCTGGGATCAAATCACCCAGCAGGGCCCATCATCCCCTGCCTGGGGAGAGGATGGGGGCTGTAGTCCTTCCGCAAGACGACAGACTCAGCATTCCGCTTTCCAGAGGCGGCTCGGCTCGCTCGACACGCAACGGGCCTCGTTCAAACGCGCAGAGCCGGCTTCCCACGCGTGACTTTCCCTAGCGAGTGTATTCACCATAAAGATGCGCTGGCAAGAGGGGGAGCCGTTTCAAACCGGAAGTTCATGCTGCGGGTAGCCGCGCTCGCTCCTCTCTATGGTCCCCCACGGGCCCGAACGCCGACCAATCAGCCCCGGGGCATTCCTCGGGTTCAGCCAATCAGGGGGCAGCTCGGCGCCGAGTGGCGGAGCGGCAGACCAATCCGCGCTGCCCGTCCTGCACACTTTCCCCCCCCCACCAGCGCTGCTCGGCCCCTCCCCGCCCTCACCTGTTTCTCGACGCCGGTCTCGTCGGGACGGCTGTCACTGCCGCCACGCGTGTCCGACATGGCGAGGCGCGAGGAGCCGAGCCGGGCGGCCCGAGGAAGGCGAGGGTAGAAGCGCTGGGGCCAGGCACGGCCGGCGCCCTCTTTCCCGCTCGCCTGCCCCTGTCAGCGGAGAGCCAAAATGGCCGCCGCCTCCTCCGCCCCCTCGCTTCATTATTCCCCGCCCACGGGGAGGAGCCGCGAGCCCCGCAGCGAATCACCGGGCGAGCCCCGGGAGGCGGGGTATATCTCGGCCGACCAATCGGGCGCTCGGTTTCCAATGCAGTGATTGACAGGCGGCGAAAGGCGGCAAAAAGATTCGAATTAGACGGGCACCGTCCTCAGCCAATAGGAATTGCAGAAGGCGGGGCGAAGAGCCTCATTGAGCCGGAGTCAATCAAAAAAATCCCCCATTGGCCCCGGCACGGTGCCCCTGAGCATGGACAGAGCGCTCCACCCACTTGCTCCAAAATGCATCCCCCCCTGAGCATGAACAGATTGCCTCTGCAATCCCCAAAGCACGTGCAGAGGGCTTCCCTCCTCCTTCCCCCCCCCCCCCCCCCCCCCCCCCCCCCCGGCCCCCCCGGGGGTCGCCCCCCCCCCCCCCCCCGCGACCACCCGCCCAAAAGCGCTGCCGAAGCCCCAAGCCGGCGCCTGGCTGCAGTCCCGGGATGGGCCACCAGAGGGCGCCCGGCCGCTTCCAGACTGGTCCAGGCGCAGGAAAAGCGGCGGAGATGCTGGCCGGGGTCGCTGCGCGGAGCCCGGATAAGGCCGGCAGGTGCAGGAGGGCTCAGCCTTGGCCGCCCCTTCCCAGCTCCCCCAACTGGCCCGGTTAGAACAGAATGAATGAATGAATGAATGAGCCGGAAGGGACCTTGGAGGTCTTCTAGTCCAGCCCCCTGGAGAACCTCTACCATTTCTATTCGTTGCCTTGACCTATCCTCGTCTCTTCTGGGGGTTGCAAAGGCTCACAAGCCAAGAGGGATGGCCGAGGCCACAACAATGGCATTTCAGTCCCAAAGTCAACCAGAAACTGCCTTTGGCTTTTGCGAGCCCCAGACCATGGGCAAAGGGCAACCCCCCCCCATCACTTCCGGCATCAACAAGCATCCAGGAGAAAAACCATCTCACTTATTTTCCCTCTGGTCACAAACCGATTGATCCCGCCAGTTCACGAGCCAGACCTGTGCTCTCCCTGTGGCTGTGGCTGATGGGACATGGCGTGACTTCGGTTGGCCTAGCCACAGGGCAGGGAAAGTGGTAAGCCCCCTGCGTGGCCCCACCCCTTCATCTGCATAGCCACGCCTCCTGCTCTTCCACCTGGCCAAGGTGCCAGGGCTGGCCGCCTCCCTCCCTTCTCCAAGAGCTGGGCCAGGTTCAGGATGCCGTTGTGGGAGGGAGAGGATAGGGGGGAGGCGAATGCATAGCTGCTGCTTTAAGAGAGGAGCCCCTCTCGGCCTTCTCCCCCCCTGCCCCCATTTCCCCCATACCCGGCGGGGATCAGCCATGCGCCGCCTCCCCGAAAGGGTGGGCCAGGGCTGGAAAATGGCAGGGCGCATTGATCGGTGTCTGTCAGCTTCTCCGGCACAATGGCTGAGCCTCATGTCCAGACACCGCACCACCGCACAGATCAATGGGGAACATCAATACCGCCGGAATTGCGTGGCCGCTATGGCAACCGGGAAGAGGAAAATAGCGGCAGGCTGGGGGCTTCCAAGTTCTGGTCTGGGGGGCAGCCAGGCTCGATCCACCCTGCCTCCCCGCTGGGAAGGCCAGACTGAATGCAAGATCCCCCATTTATTTATTGGGGGGTTTACTGTCTTTCCTTAGTTGTCACCCCTTTCTTACTGGACGATCCGGGGGGAGGCTAATCTTGCATTGGGGGCCTGCCGACTTCAGGGGCCAGAAGCAAGAAGATTATCCTGGTGGTTTTATACCTCCAAAGGTAAATTTCACCCCCATCACCCCAATGCCCAAAGGTTTGGGGTTTTAGCTGGAAATACATCTCTGCCAACAAAAGAACAAAAATGGCATGGTTTAAAACTTGTCTCCGCACTTCAGTGAAACCTCCCTGGCCAGGATCTATACATATACATATATACACATATACCCTGTTTTCCCAAAAATAAGACATCCCCTGATAATAAGCCCAATCGGGTTGTTGTTGTTGTTGTTGTTGTTGTTGTTGTTGTTGTTGTTATTATTATTATTATTATTATTATTATTATTATTATTATTATTATTATTTTCTTTAATTTATATGCCGCCCTTCTCCGGAGACTCAGGGCGGCTTACAATGCATTAAGCAATAGCCTTCATGCTTTTGTATATTTTTTTACAAAGTCAGCTTATTGCCCCCACAATCTGGGTCCTACCTTTGAAAGGATGACAGTGCTTTAGTCCACTGTGCTACCAATGCTCTTTTGAGTGTGTGTACTAGAATAAGTCTCGCCTCAAAAATAAGCCCTCCCTGAAAATATTTAAACACAGAGCTGGAAATCAGGTAAGATGGCAAGAGGAGCCCCATCTTGCCCCACGCGCCCCAAAATAATAAGACCTCCCGAAAATAAGGCCAAAAAAATATAAGACAGGGTCTTATTTTCGGATATATATATATATGGAGAAAAAAAGGCCCATTTGGTAGCTGGATATGTATTTCCCCCCCATCCCTCAAGAAATGACTTTCGAAATATTTCTGGGACCGATACCTCCCATCTGCAGCTGCCCACAGCTCTGTCCGTCCCCGTTTCTTTCCCTCCCCACAAGAGGCCGGAGACCGACACGTTTTAAAATAGATTGAGGGGCCGAATAAAAACTGTCAAGCCGTTTAAGCTGCTTGGGGCCGAGTCGGTGGGTAGATTTACTCGAAATGGCTTTGAAAAATCAATAGGACTGCAAGGAAGGAAGGAAGGAGAAGAGGACTGAAGCCCCCTCTTTCTCTCTTCTGACCCTCCCGCCTTTGGCTCTCCAAAACTATGAGGCTCAGGGACCAACTGATTCTGGCTTGGGATCCCCCCCCCCCCCCGATCTTCAGCGATCTTGATGATCTCAAGCAAGGAAACGTTGGGGAATCCCTCGAAGGGTTTTATGAAGCCATTTCCAGTCTCTCTCCTCTTTTTGCACTTTCCTGGCGGCATCCATCTTGAAGTTTGCTGATAACAAGCCAGGAATCAGGGTTTGAAAGGAAGAGAAAATGAAGATGAGGACAAGATGGGTGCCAAAGCTTTTGCCGTGAGGCTGATTGACCCTTCTCCCCTCATATTAAACAAGCTGGTGTTAAATTCTGATTAAATTAAGGAGACGCGAGGAAAAAGGCCTGAGTGACCAGCTATTTTTCTCTCTGCCCCAGCCTACCTAGCAGGGCTGTTGTTGAGGGCATTAGAGGTCCCTTCTTGAAGGAAAGCCCCCTCGGCTTCCCACCTGCCCACCCACTCCCATCTGAGGAGATTTGGCAGCATTCGTTGGGCTAACATAAAAGTTTAAAAGCCAAAATCCGACCGGCATCCTTGTGCACACCGGACCCTCCTGCTTTCTCCCCGCAAAGGTGTGTTTGCGTGTGCGAGAGAGAGAGAGAGAGAGAAAGGACTCCATGTTGCAGTGCGTGCCACATGGGCGAATCTCCCGCCCGGCTTATTGATTGGGGCTGCATTGATCTGCTGGAAAGGGCTGGGGGGGGGAGGAGGAGAAGAGAAGGGGGGAGAGGAAAATCAATAGCCACGCGGCAATATGTTTCTCTGCTCCCTGGGATGCGCTCGCTCGCGCGGCTGTGCCACGTTGTTGGAGCCGTTTTTTTTTAATTCGCCAGGAGGACAAAGTGAGTGTGTAACGCGTAGGAGCCTGTGCCACGTTCGATTGTGGGTTTGAGGGGCTGTTTTTTTTTTGCAACCAGTGGCATCCAAGGGACAGGCAGCTGGCCTCGTATCAGCGCCGGGGAAGACCACACAGCCTGGTGGCGTCACCCTTTAGCCGGACTCTCCGCCACCGAGGTGCCCCCTCCAGGACTGGCATCGCAGAGGCTCCTTCAGAGGTGAGTCTGGGGGACCCATGTGCCTTTCCCTTGGCAGTGGCTGGGCCATCATCAGTAGTCCAGGCCATCCTGGGCACGGCCAGGAGAGGGCGCCCTTCCTGGTGCAAGGCAGAACGCTTCCTATGCTTTCTCCGGTCCAACCTGGCAGGTTTACAGATCCAACTCGGCTCCAAAAGCAGACGAGATGGGCAGCAGCACACACATCTCGTCCATAAAAATAATAAAGAGTTCAAAAAGTGATATTTTAATAAAAATAAAGGGGTCCCCGCCTTGCAGACATCCGAGGGCCGGTGGTTAACCTACGCGGAGGGCGAGGGATGCTGCCTGCAAGATTTTAAACAACTTAGCATCCAGGGCACAACCAGTACAGACAATCTGGAGCTGGTGTGTTTGTGGTTGCGAGTTGTGGCCTCTTTAGAAACCCTTCCCACTTCTGGGCGTTGCCCGCGGTGAGGCATTGGGCACTGTCAGCATCCAGGCCAGAAGCTGCCGGTTTTGCAAATGAATTAAGAAAAAAAAAATTAGTTGTGTTTAATCCATAGCCAAGAAGGAAATTTCCCCGTTTTTGCATGGTGTAAGACAGGAGTCTCCAACCTTGGCAACGTTAAACCTGACGGACTTCAACTCCCAGAATTCCCCAGCCAGCTAAGCTGGCTGGGGAATTCTGGGAGTTAAAGTCCGTCAGGTTTAACGTTGCCAAGGTTGGAGACCCCTGGGGTAAGAGATAGAAATCCTTCTGAGGCCCCTTTTGTCGGAAGGGGCCACTCAGGGGCCCCTCCCACTCCCCCACCAGGTTGCAAGAGAGGATGCTGGGAGTTGTAGTCCCAAATATCTGGACCGGGGCCCCCGGCTCAACCCATCTCCCTTAAACTCTCCATAGGCACCGATCGGTTGATTGGTTGCCATCTGCTCATCTTCTCCAATAGCAACCGGCCCAAAGGGCGTTGCAAGCCTTCCCGACTCACAGAACGCCGGTCGCAAAGCGTGCTGTTGTGAAACCCGGAAAAGATGCATTTTAGGGCGCCACCGAAGTTTTCCCCAATGCAAACCTTAAATACTTAAAAACTTGCTTGTTCTTCTCTATCTTCTACTTGCAATCAAGGGGGGGGGAGGAG